CCTCTTCGATTCGCGATTCGGAGAGAGAGCGGAGATCGGGGCGCGAGATCTTGGCGTTCCTTCTCTCGTCCTTGAAAAACGAGCAAACTGCCGAACTGCCAAGCGGAAATTCCATTCGTCTGGCTCGTACAGACGAACGAGCTAGCGGCAATTTCGTGCCGGCTCCGCGTTCGCAGCTCACCGCTTCCGGTTTCGTCTTTCCCGGCACCGTTTCCTGCGAGATCGCCCGACCAATCCGCGTGGCCGTCCTCGGCCTGCCAGGAAAATCCAGTTGCCGTGGAAACTTGGTGTGGCTCTGCCTGATACATCACGAACCTCCTTCGCTCGCGAGCCAATGAATCTCCTCACGGATTTAATTCCACGACGGTGTTCCTCGCTCTCGGTAGAAAATCAACCGACGTCCTGCAACGAGATTAGATCACAGTCTTGGTAATAATGTCAAAAATGGATAGATTTAGGAAAAAGAGGGATATTTATAGTGTTTAAAGTTTAAAAAGATTTTTTTTTTTTTTAATTTGTTGTTGTCGTTTCCCATTTGGAAGAATTGTTTTGATTGCTGAACTGGGAACGTTCGATCGATTAAACGATTAATTCGATGCAACGGACCACCGTCCAGGCCATGTAAAAGATAAGTGAAGTTTCTGAGTTGCCGAGCCGCGTATCGATCCGAATTCCGACTCAATTTTGTAGGCCCTCGACGAAATCCTATGCATTAAACATCACGCGCAACGCACATACCACGTGCTAATCCACGTTAAACTTTGATACAAATTTTAAGAGTTGATCGTGAACTTATCCACGACGAAAAGAGACATTTTTTGATTGTTCGTGGACAAATTATAGGAAGCAAAAAAACTTACTATTACGATCCGACGATCATTTTTTTTCTTTTTCCTTTTTTTTAGCTATTCAAATTCAATCGTGAACGATTGTGCCGATATTTTTCTTCGTTATCTTCTCTGAGAAACCAATTCTCACGCAACAGAACGTGCACATGTCTCGGTGGATGAATATTCGAAAGCAACAGCGTGGACAATTCAGCCAGTGAAAAATTGAAACAATTTGCTCGGGAACTAAATTTAACGAAAACTTCCAGCCTACTGCGTAACTACTACTTCCGACTAACAGACTAACCCGGTACATAATGTTCCTTCGATTCAATCGCCGGCAAATCTATCAATCACTTTCTCGCTCGCGGATCCATTTTTCCAACGACACATCGGCGTGACACGCGTGTCGTTTCCTGTTGTTGCTGCACGATGTGCCAGAGGGGGAGCTGCGCGGAAACAATTTCACGAACGAGCGCGGCCATCAATTCCGATCACACGCGCGGTCGCACGAATTTGCGAAACAATCGTCTGCTCGTCCAGGTATACGTGTTCACCGATGCAAAATTACACCGTCGTTTCTACGCTGATAGTTATTTATGTCGGAATCATGTAAATCGAGGAGTAGAGGAACGAGGACCGAAGGAGGAGCTGCGATATCAGTCGCGCATACACTATCGCCCGCAACATCTTCCACGCTGCGAATATTTGACACAGCGTACTTGAGATGAAATTCTTGATCGCGTCCGAGACGTAACATTACAGCTAGTATTAGTATTTAATTTAATATGAAAGGAAAAATTGATGAACGGATCAACTTCAAGTATCAAGAGATTCAAAATTGATCGAGAAATCGAAATTAAAAATTTAAAAAACTAATATTAAATTAAAACAAGATAGATTATGCTGATATGCGCTAAAAAGTATTTCCAGCAACGCGGAAGATTAAACGTTACAGTGTGGTATATTTCAAACTATAGTCACGTTCAACGTGTTAAATGTGTTTAAACAGCTCAATAAAAATCTGTTGGATTATAAAAGTTCATGGAGCGTCAGTTGTTTACCACGGACAAACAAATGTTTACGGAAGCTCGTGAAAGTTATGTAATATACTTATACACAGCGTAGTAAGTAGTGCAAGAAATATTTTTAAAATAAATACGAGCACTATTTTACAGTAGTACTTTACTGTATGAATCTACAGAGGTGGACAAAACTCGATGAAAAGTTACCGATGTTTTCAACTGTTTTCAACTGTTTAAACTTCGTGAAGCAAAATCGTACGTCGGTCCAATTGGCTAAGCATAAAATCTACTGTTTTTTTTTTTTTTTGTTAAAGATGTTTTCACATCATGCAGCAGATGGAAAAACAAGGGTACTTTCTTTTGTTGAAAACTGTAGAAATTCAGACGCTTTCAAAATCGCTGAAAAAAAATTTTTTTATGACTAGATGCATCGTAACGTCGAAGATCAAAGTCTTTCCTTGGAACGTGCCGTACGATTTTTCACTTTATTGAATCTTGAACATTGGACGAAAATTCAAGAAATCCCTGCCACGAAATTTCACTCTAACGTTCGATGTTCAATAGAATGGTGAAAAAAAAAAAAAATTGTACAACAAGTTTCAAGAGATCGTTGGAAAGACTAGACTTTAATTTTCAAGCTCACGGTAGTGAAAAGCATTTTTTGATCTTTTCAGTGGCATTTGAATTTTTACAATTTTCGAGAATAAAAGTTCCCCTTACTTTTACATAGTGCGAAAAAAAAAAAGAAAACGTCTTTGAAGAAAATTAATATAGAGCTGTCAAAGTGGAGGCTTTACACTTTAAAACGAGGCCAATTGGATAGAGATGTAATACAACGCACACACCACGTGAATGAATAAAATTCCTTCCGCAGGAAGCATTTGGAAAAATATTTGAAAAAAAATCGAATACGACCGAGGTATTGCGCAAGGCGTGCCGAAATATTTCCAAACGGTAGTAGTGTGTCTACTATCTAATAGAACGAGAAAGCTCGGGATGGAGCGATCGCCAGCGGGAAAGTTTACCATAATAATTACACACATCGGTCGCGCCCATTACACGCGCGCGTAATAGCGCCAGACGTGAAATAACTATAATTTACGTGTATCACCTTATTCCGTATGCCGAGTACCGGGTCGTAAAGTATTTGTGCTCTGGCCAGGGCTCTGACCAGTCGAAAATTATAATCAACCGCGAGTTATTTAAGTTGGCAATTTTATTTCGCCCCGTCTCTGTCGATCGCGGTGCGCGTCGCTGCGGATAGAAGCGCGCGCCGTTTCGGCGCTTCCATTCCTCCGCCCCGGAGAGAACAGCGGCCGTCTGCTCTATTATTAGGCGTAATGGCCCGGGAAAACTTTCATTAACTTGTCCGATGCCTAATTCATGAGACGACCGGCCCGCGATACCGTGTAATCCTTCCTTTAGGCCCGCTTCGCAGAGAAAAAGGATCCGAGTCCGAAACGAAAGAGGCGGACGGGGAGAGAGAGAGAGAGAGAACGGTTTCGTCCCGACAATCACCGAAGAAGAGAAACGATTTTTACGTATATCTGAGAGATTGTTTGCGCAACTTTCGGGAATTTTGTTCATTCCACGTTGCAGGCCGGTGACAAGTTTCTAGGTGTTGATTTTCAGTTTTCTTATCGAAACTGTCGTTTGTCGAAACAAACTCGCCGCTTCTGGAAAATCGACCGCCTTCGGAGAATTTTTCGCCTCAGCGTGAAGAAAATTATCTCCTGTTTTCTTTCTCTTTATCGCGTAACGGGAGAAGAGATTACTCAGAGTAGATTTTCGGTCGTGACCGGCAAGTTGCGAAAGGAAACCTAAGAAAATGGTCGTTCTACGACGAGAAAGGAAGTGACAAAAATTGTTCGTGATGAGAAGACATTGTACGTGATATCGCTAATCACTTATATTATACTTATAAAAATTATTTCATGAATATTTGAGAATCATTACGAATGTTCCATTGAATAAATTATATTAATTTACGTTAAATTTTTTAGTTGCCATATCTGATGCATCAGAGGTAATTCTTGTATGTACATTTACTTAATTGTTCATTTTTCTACCTAGAAGAAAGAAAGATATTTCCTTATTCATATATAATGTATCGTTTGTTTATACAATACGCGAGTTATAAATTTACTTTTCTTATTCGAAAAACATAAATAAAAATGTTCAGGTCTAATAAATAATTGTAAAACGTCAATCATCAAAGATTTCTTCTTTTTTTGTCACTGCGACGTTTCATTGCTTCAAAATTTGAAATCATTTTCCTATACTATCAATTTGTATACATTTCTATTGTGTATGACTAATAGAAACCATTGAATTTTTCGTTACAATAAATACGACAACATAAATACAAAATGGAAATTATTCGAGAATTTAAAAAAAAGTGACTTAAAAAATTTTAATTCCCTCTTCTCTTCTTCTCTTCCGCTTTCTCATTCGTAAATATCGCAAATTCCTCCTACGTTTGTAATTACTAGTACGAAATCACTAATTATCTAACAGTTCTTTCAATATTAATTCGTTAGAATTTACACTGAATATAAATTAAATTAATTATTTAAATCCCAGTAAATGAAAATCGTAACGAACTGCAACTTGGACTTCTTCGGACTCTTCTTCTCCGCCACCTATCGAGAGCCAAGGGAACCTTCCAACCTGAAAGAACAGAAAACGAAGTCGACAGAAGCTTACCTACTGCAACCGCGTCTCGTTACCGACTCGATTTTCATACCTAACGTTTCCTTCCTTCTCCTACATCGATGCAGAACGAATTTTCCATCAACGTCGCAGGGAATAAAAGCAAGTTCCACGAAATTCGTAGAGTTCAGATTCTGTCTCTTCGGAGCATCGGATCGACAAACCGGCGACAAAAAAACAGAAGGATTATTATCAACGATACTTACAAAATTGGACGAATAATAATCTCACGAACGACACGACAGTTTCCTCAGCGAGAAATGCCTGCACGTAGTTGTACATAATCACGTACAATGTAACACACTTCTTGTGGCTCATTATCTCGAAGGGTTGCAGAGCCTCGAGCGTTCGCCGGCGACTCGCGTGTAAACACGCCGTTTTCTGCTTCGAACAAGTCGCGTGAACACGCTCGGCGGGAAAAGAAACGAACGAGTATAAATGCAACGACATGCGTAAGATAAATCGACGATGACGATTGGTCGAGTGTCTTCGAAAAATTTGATAAACGTTAAAGATCTTAAGATATTCTCTAAAAGTGCAAAAAAAAAAAAAAAAAAAAAAGAAGATTCCAGATACAAAATTTCACCTTCGGGATCTTTATCCATCGCATCAAAGAGCGACGCAAAAATTAGATTAAAACAATGTAATAAATAGGAAATGATTTCCAGTAATTGAACGCTATCTTATCAGTGTCTTTATTTAACCGTTTCTTTGTTTTTCTCACTCGCTAGGTTTCGTAAAATTGTAAGATCTATATCTTCTACATTTGGAGATTCTCTCGTAACATTTTCCAAATTTCATCTCAATTGAGCGTATTCGGAAGAGTATTCATGTTCATAGATTTTGATATCGATGACAGAGACAGTTCGTTGTACCAAATATATTAAAAAAAAAATTAATATATAAAATAATATATAATATAAAATTAATGATATTCTGATAATATTAGTATCATACTACAACATTTTACATTGATATTACATATATTACACTCGCAAAATACTATAAAAATTATATTAAAAGCAAGGAATTCTTGTTGATATTTCACAACAAAATGGATGTTGCGATTTACTCCCGACTGCTCGAGTGTGGCTTCAAACGTGTGATTAATTTCACAGCAATGAACTGTGAACTTGTCTCGTCTAATCGAGTAATGAATTTTACTTGCAAACGAGATCACTTTATTTCGCGATTGATAAAAATGTAGAAATTGTTTACGCGGTGAGAAACTTTAGAGATGAATACTGCAGAGATTCTTCGTTGAAAATTGGCGTGAGCCTGTTTCGTTAGAATGGGCTAGTTCGATTTAGCCAATCAGAGGACGAGCCATTCAATTACACTGCTTTGGGAAAATTAAAAAAGAAAAAACAAAAACGGTGAAATTAAAGCACGTATAAAAACGATTGATAGGTTTGAAACGAACATTTCTAGAAATCAGTAAACATAACTAAGGTTCAGCGCGGGTCAGCGACCGCCTTGATCTGACGCGCTGTTTTTGAGCTCTGATAAGTAAACATTAAAGAAAAACAGAATGTGCAACGAAAACACAGACTAAACGAGAATTCAAAGTGCACGATATTTAATATTCTTACGCCAGCAATTAAAGTCTAGGAGAATTCGAATTACGAAGTGACCTTCCTATTCAATTTTATATAACGTAGTATTTCTTCGTTTTAATACATTTGTATTCGTCTGCGTCATGAGCGGGAAAACATCTTGTCATTCTTAGAAAACTGTTTAGCTCAATTATCCATGAATAATAGATAAGCTACAGATTACTTAGAGATTAGCTACCATTATTTCTTCAATTGAAGAAGAGGGAAATATTGATTTAGAAAAAAAAAAAAAAAACGCGATAATATATAAGGAAACAAGAGAGACGTAATATCCAGTTGCGTAGACGAAGTCTTGAGGAGAAAGTCGGAAGTTCTGCTACATCTTGCAATTTAAAGCGTGAGTTGAAAATATGCGTCGAAGAAACAATCTTTGTATTTGTATCTTTATGTTGTACGGGATATTTCGTAGCGCATGGGATGATTTTTCGTGAGAAAGTAAGTCGAAAAAAAAAAAAAAATGTAGAATAAAATTTTTTCATTCAAGACTTTGTTTTCGAGGAAATTTGGTTTAAAAATTCATCAAGTATATTCCCTTCACGCACGCACGCACACACATACACTCACCAGTAATTTAATCCATGATTCAAAGATAATTTAAAGTGTAAATTTTTATTGTCACAATTTTCAATCTCATCATCGTGGACACGATTTGTTGTTTAGAATGCAGAGAACTTTTGAACAACGATGTTGTCTAAACAGAAATCAATATTTAACAACAATTACTTTTTAAACATTTGTGAAAAAAGAAAATCTGAAATCTGCCAAACTGACGTTTGACGTTTGGTTGTTCTAGCGTTAATAATATTTCTAGCACAGGTATTTGTTCGATACATATTTTTTTCAGTCTAGAATTTAAGGAAATTTAAGAAAATCGAAATATTTTTAGCTCTACGTGTCTCCAAGTTATAAAATTCTTCCTTTGTGTTTCTGGCTCGGATAGCAGATTTCTAACACTTATCTTGTAGTATTTTATCTCTTGTATTTTATATCTAGTATTTTGTTGATGATAAAATTTCATGCTTTATTTTCACATTCAATGTAAACATTCTTTTAATTTGCAGCGCAGCGCCTCGAATAATTCCCGTACACTCGATGAAAACTTATCGACACACTTTGAACTGCCATAACTTTCCAAGAAGAAATCTTAGAGAAATGCAATTTGAACCCATTTTGAAGCACGAAGCCTTTAACTTTCATACATACTCAGTTTCTTTCAATTTCTTTCAATTTCTATCTTTCAGTGTTTTTACATCATTTTGAAAGGGTGATAAATAAAAATACTTTAACCCCTCGAAAATCCTGCATGGACCCTGAAAAATCCGACAGTTAAATCCATCACGGTCTTCGTCAAAATCGAGTTCTCCCGTTCTCGCGCGATTTCCTTTTTCGTCGAGTTTTCCACGAGAGAAACTTTCCGGAAACTTTCCAAAGAAGTCACTGTACGATTTACTTGCATCGCTGTTTCCTTTGCAAAGCCGCAAGCGTCTATGCAACTTCAATCATGTTATTTCGCTGCACGGTCGTTAATGAGCCAGCGTGGTTGGTCCGCAGTTTCTGTTAACAACGTAAACAGATGGATGTTAAATCGATCAGAAAGAAAATTGCCCGAGAGCGAGATCGGTCTCGTTCGCTTCCACGTACTGTCAATTCGCGGCAATTTCAGCTGTCATCTCCTCGTCATCGTCTGCTCATTCGGCTCGTTCGACTCTCGATACTCGTTCCTGCTCGTCGCGCTCGTGCGCGTATATCCCTCGCTCGGCATGAAACATTGTTTCAACTATGTTTCCTACGCCAGGTCGTTTTCCCACGTCGCACCACGACGTTGAAACGCTACGGATACCATCTGGTTTTTACTCGAACCACCGGGTAGAGTCGTGCGTGCTAAGATTTTCCCTCTACATGGCACGTCACGCTACGCCACATACACACACACACACACACACACACACGGGTCGCGTAATGAACGGTTTGCCGATCAACAGAAATCGCGAGCGTGTCGTACAAAGATTGTTACACGCGTGTACATCTCGATTTCCAAACGTATCACGAACCGTAATTTCCGAGTCACGACGAGTCACGGCTGGCAAACGATACACGCTGTTTTGTCCGCGAAATTGTGAGACGAACGAAGGCAGGAGGATGGAGACTTGGTTCGACGAACGAGCTCCGCGTAATTATTTTCTACCGTGCGCGCGTCAACTCGCTAGTATTTTGTTTTCTTTTCTTTTCTTTTCTTTTCTTTTCTACTCATTTCATTCTCCCATTCGTGAAAAAACACTGATGCTCTTTGCCAAGATTATGTACGATTCTTTGCATGTTCTAAAATCACAAAGATGGACTCTCCCTTTCAGCTACGAAGATTATAAATCTTGACAATTTACAGACTCTTCAAACATTGTATTTTCATTTTCTTTCTGTTCTTTTTTTTTCGGTAGGACGAACGACGCGCGTAGTCTTTCTTGTTTTATGAAACATGAGCAATTAACCAGGTTTTGTTTTCTGTGTTTTCATTTACGATTTTCTTGGTTCAGAGTCTTTGGCAATAACGAAGCTCACAAGACGAGTTAATTAAGAAGTTGGTTGTTTATGTTCCCTCTCTTGGATAAAATGCTTAACTTTCAAATTACTACACTACGATCGTAGAAACGTTGGAAATCTCGAGCAATTTGAAAGTTAAACGTTTAACAGGTTGCCTGAGAAAATTAAGCGAGAGAATTGCTTCCGCACCTTCCGGGACCAGTGACGTCGATTTTATTTACGCTGATAATAGTAAATACAGAAAAAAACTATGTATAAATAGAATTTTCCACTAATCTATTAATCAGAGTTTTATCAATCGTATTAATCATCATTTCATGCGCGATTATTTTCTCAAATAATATATTTTCTAACACGATGACGAAGTTATTTTGCAAGGTTACGCGACGAGGTTACGTTTCATTCTCGTTACGAAATCGTCATTTACCAATATGTATTATCCAATACAAAATATTGTCAAAGAAAAACTTCGTTCCATTACGGTATGATAACGCATAATAGTTAATTAATATGTGTAATCGTAGAGGATTACGACTTACATACGTGAGAAACAATGTAGGTATAAATTTCGTTTTAAAATGTAGTTGTATAACACGAAGCGACAGATGAATATCTAATCGCAAATGTGAAATGTTATCAAGTGTATTATCAAGTAATATGGCACAATTTACACAGTTGTAAACATGTTGGACATCTAATACGAGAAAAATATAACAATAGTTGACATAATATTTAATTAATGAAACGAATCATTTACATTTCATTTCCTTCACTATTTCAATAAGCTACAATTTATTCTCGATTGTATAAATGAAGAATTATAATTAAAATTATAATTGGACAAAACAAGATAAAATAATAATCTCTATAATTGGAGACAGTCAGAGTAATAATTAGATTTTTTTATATATTTCTAAAGACTCATACTTTTCCCGGTTAATCTAAGAAATTGAAGTTTAAACATTTAGAGTGATTAAAATCGATAATTACTTAGTTAATTACTTAGTAGAGAAATAAATATAAATTTTGTTGCTTTTAAACTGTTGCAGTAAACATCATTTAATAAGCTACACTATGTTTCATCAAACATTACATAATAAGATACACATGACGATTCAGTTTTTGATTTCACAATATCAAGTATAAGAAATGAAACTGGTCATTATTTAAATGTATGTAATTTTATGATCTTGAACGTCCATTAGTAAATTAAATTTAAACGATTGAAAATGATAATGTTATGCTGATGACAGTATTTACGTGAATTTTAAAACAGCTTTTTAGCTTACGTAAATTAACACGTGACGCGAAAAACTTGTTTTCTCTAAAACTGATTTATCGATCTTTTATGAATTGTCATATCTAACAGTGTCCCAATATCATAATTAAATATCTCAAAATCATAACATGACCAAATATCTAAGATGCCACGAAAATATAAATTTAATTTCGTGATCTTAATGAAGGAGACTTTATCGCTACTTGATAATGGCACAACTCGAAGGAGAGTTTTTTTTTAAATTTACAGAATGAAAACACAACGTAGATTGAGCATTTACTCGATGAAAACGAGTTTAACGAATTTTTAAATTGATACCACTATCAACGCCAAGCAACGCAATGTTGCACGTTTTATCAAAAAATTTTCCTCCGTAATTCTTAGAAAATTAAAGAATTTCGCTTGAGTTAAAACTACTTTCAGCGGTTATAAATTTTGATCTGCTATATTTTTTTTATCATTAAATATCTCGATATTTTTATCGTTAAAACAATATCTGTTTTGTCTTCCGTATATCTCTCTGGATATTATATAACGTGCTCAGCTTACACTCAGTCAGTTGTTATTTAAAACATTGATAAAGTGAAAACCTCGAGGAAATTTATAGTGAGTAATTTCCACGTCGTATTCACGAGAAATACTTTAACAGAATCGTATCTTTGCTAATTATGCTCTGTCAGCAAATAATGACATAATATAGTAGATATAGTAGATTTTTTTAAAGAGGGGAGGACTTCAGATGTTACATATATATCTACGGAACCAACGATAGAGAACTCACTTTTAACGTAGCTCGGGAAACATTCTGCCTGTAAATGTAAATTTCATGTCCGCTGTCTTGTAGTGCTCGTGACAATCGAAGCTTCACAGTGGTACGTAGTGTATCTTTCACACCATCTTTCCCAGTTTCTCGTCATTTGTGTTTTCGTGGACGCAATCAAAGAGAAAGGAAAATGGAATTTAAACAGAATATTACGATCAGACCGTGGTATTTTAATGCGTTTTTGAATTTTCGTTCTATTTTTGCATTTCGAGTTTTTATGCCGTTTTAAATCAAAATTTAATTATTAAATTGAAACATTCTGCCATTTCATGCATTTTGAAGTTATTAAATATTTATATATTTTTGCATATTATACGCATCTTCCAGTTTCCCGCAAATGCATAAAAATCCGCAGTCCCCAATTGCAGACAGATATTTCACTTTTCACGCGCATTCTCTACACACTTGGCAATTATTCGTTAAAATATTCGTGGATTTTTACGTATTTATAGAAAAGTGCAAAGAATACACGCGTAATATGAGAAAATATATACAAAATTTTTTTTTTTTTTTAACTACACTCCTAAAATATGAAATTGCATGAAAAGTATGATCTTCCGAGACAAACAAGAACGTGTACGTCTATCTCAGATTCGTTTCAGACTTGACTCCGTCCGAAATGGCCTTGCTAACGCCATACTGGGGGCTGGACGGTCTTCTCGTCCTTTCATCCTTGATGATTGGCGCCTATATGTACATGACGCGGAAATTCAAATACTGGTCGAAGCGAGGCATCAAGGAGATCCCACCTACGCCTTTCGTTGGCAATTTCGCGGACTGCATTCTGCTAAAGAAAGCAGGCGCGGAGTTTGTCAAAGAGATATACGACAAGGCCGAAGGACTTCACGGAATAGGATTCTACATCTTCGACAAACCATACTTTCTGGTTCGCGATCTAGAACTGCTGAAGCATGTCTTTGTGAAAGACTTCAACTACTTCGCCGATAGATACGCGACCGCCGACAAGGTCAATGATCGTCTCGGCTACGCGAACCTGTTCATGATGAAGAATCCCAGCTGGAAGACTCTCCGAACGAAGCTAACACCGATCTTCACTTCCGGCAAGCTGAAGAAAATGTTCGAGCTGATGATAACGAATGCGAACGATCTTGAAAAGTTTTTCGACTCAATGCACTTGGAAAGTAAGTATGATTTTGGGTAATGAGTCGATCGTATCAAACGATCGATCTACGCTTAAAAAGTGATCAGAAGGTTTGACAAATGACTCCTTTAGAAAAAAAGGTTCTCAGTATTTAACAGTCAGGCCTCAGTTGAGGTTTACTTTAACGACTTAATTTAAGTTTTCGTTTAACACTCTGTCAGAAGCAATTGAGATTTAAAATTTCTCGAAGTTTCCCCCTTAGGGGAAATTGATGTATATTACAATTACTGCATACGACCAGCGTTGTTTATCATGAAAAACAGGTTTACAACACTTACGTAAGATAGAATGATCAGTGCATTAAAGAAAACATTATCATCTACTTTTCAACTCAAGTATAAAAATTGTATTTTTGAGTACTTTTGAGACTCTCATCGTTAGGCTGTTTTATTGCGAGCTACGATTTCATTCGAATTCCTTAATTCAAATAATCCTTCAATTCAAGTTTAATCTCAAATTTAATTTCGTCTGTTGCAGGCAATGGAAAAGTAGTAGAGATCAAAGATATATGCGCGAATTTCACCACCGACATGATCGGTAACACTGCGTTCGGTGTGAAAGTGAATTCGTTGCACGATCCAAAGGCGCCGTTCCGCGAATACGGCAGAAAGATCTTCGACTACGATTTCGCTCGTAGCATAGAATTCTTTACCATATTCTTCTTCCCTAATTTGGTCAAGTATATTAAACCCAAGTTCTTCGGCAAGAAACCGTCAAAGTTCCTCCGAACTGTTTTCTGGGATGTGATCAACCAACGAATCGACTCGGGACAAAAGAGAGGCGATCTCATCGATGTATTGATCGAGATGAAGGAGAAATACAAGGATGACGATACTCTGACTGACTTCAGTACGTATTCGCTTGAATATTTTATTAACAAGGATTTTAGAGCGATTCGAAACTTGAATGATACATGTTTTATTCGCGCTCAGTCGCCCGTGATTCGTAGAAACTACAAAAGACTTCACACTTTCAGTTGTTATAAAAAAATCTTAAAATTTGCAAAACAAGAAATAGAAAGTATCTTTTTTTTTTTTTGATAGAAAATTTATTTATTTTAGTGTCCTTAGTATTTCTTTTACCATCGAATATTTTTCTCTATCTCTCAGAATTTAAGAATCATAACCTCGAAAGTGGAAATATTCATTTGACTTCGAGGACAGTTTTCACATCCTTGAAGGGCAATTAGACAAAACGTACCATTGCTTTGGATCACTCTGAAAGCATATACATAAATTTCAGATTCGAGGTGTTCCCTTGTAAGTCAGTTCATGCTTCTACAGATAGAAATTGTGGGATATATCAATTTTCCAAATGTTTGAACACTCGTAATTGATCCACATATTTTCAAGCTACTTTTTCAGTCGTGAGAAATAGATCAATTTACCAAATGACTGATTATTGGCTTTCAGAATTCAAGGACGACGATTTAGTGTCACAAGCGGCCATATTCTTTACCGGTGGTTTCGAGACGTCTTCCACTGCCATGTCCTTCACATTCTACGAGCTAGCTTTGAACCCAGCTGTACAAAATACTCTCAGGGCAGAGATCCACGACGCTCTCGCGAAAACCGATGGCAAAATTACGTACGATATGGTAGGAAAACGTTGAAAAATCATAATTCACAACCGCGTGAGCGCAAAGTTCGGTGCAAAGTTGTTGATAATCAACAACGAGCGAAACTGTCTCGTTTCAACGTGACTAATATGAAATGAATTTTCGCAGGTTATGTCGCTGCCGTACCTCGACATGGTAGTTTCAGAGACACTTCGCAAATATCCACCTCTGGGATTCTTGGATCGAATATGCCTGGCCGATTATAAAGTGCCCAATTCCGATCTGGTGATAGAGAAGGGTACTCCCGTGTTCATTTCCGTAATCGGCAGCCACTACAATCCGGAGTACTTCCCAAATCCGGAGAAATACGACCCGCTCAGATTCACGGAAGAGGCTAAGAACTCCAGGCCGAGTTACGTTTATTTCCCGTTTGGCGACGGGCCTCGCGTCTGCATAGGTCAGTGAAATTTTTTCACTCTGCTCGATAGTCACGAACGATGTTTCTATCGACGAAACTTAATAGAAAAACTTCGAATCCGATTAAGGACGATATGAGAGAATACGAGCGCTTGAGAAAAAGAGTTTTCCTTTCGTTTAAAAGACTTTTTCTAAGCATCAAAATCGCTATCAATTACGAAACAAGATCTAAACAACGCGGACAAAAATTAACAAGTATCTCTTTAATTTGTTAGTGTTTCTCTAATCTATTTTGATATGTTATAATATTAGTGGGTCGAGCAAAAATTCTATGGAAGTAAAATAGCGAGGAGTTTCACTGATACTCTGTGTATCATATCAGAAAGTAATTGCAGTACTAAGTAATAGTAGTTAACATTTACGTAACCTAAACATATCATTAATAGCAGCTTTCAGTTCTGGCGTCGCGACATGAATTGAATATTTCAAAAGCTTTGTGTCAAAGAAGCAACACTTTTCCACTTCTCAATTATTATTTCTGACTCGCGAACATTAAAAAAATCGTGCACTGTTTATTACGACTGTTAAGTCGCTATTGCAGAGAACGTGAGTATGTAATTTTTGGAATAGAATCTTCACCCGCGTAGATAAAAAATGATTGGGAGGGCAGTTGGAGCATTAAAATTTAATTACACTTGCGATGATCCTTCTCCGTTTCGCGTTTCTTGTTTCAGGTATGCGACTGGGACTCATGCAGTCGAAACTGGGAATCATTCAGATATTGAAGGACTATGAATTCTTACCTTGCGAGAAAACAAGAATTCCAATGGTCCTGGATCCCAAAGCGCTCACCACGTCAGCTTTAGGGGGGTTATATTTGAACATTCGAAAAGCCACGACCGCGGCCGGTTGATTTCGCCGCACGAATCGCGTCTTAAGTTTCTATTTCACTTGCTCAATTTCTAATCGAATAATTTATAATTGAACGTGTACGTGTAACTATTCCGTTTGTTGAATTTAAGTGTACTTTGTCATCAATCTGAAATTTTTCCCCGACGAAATGTAACTTTGTATGTTAGACCTATCTAATGGTCAAAACGACTAATTTATCATTTTTATTGTTGAAAAGTTCATGGTGTATTTTTAGAGATTTAAATGATTTCTCGCGAAATATACAAACGAAAGTTATGTAAGATTCATTATTTTCCTTTTCTTTTCTTTTTCTTTCTTTTCCCTTTCGATATTTCTGATGAAAATTTTAGACTTCAGTCTAATTTCAGTCAAGATATTGGGTACCTGAAATTTATGATTTGAAATTAACTAGATATGCTAGGTATAACTGCTTGTATAACGATGTAAAAAATTGAAAATTATTGCCAACAGCAATCGAAAGTCGTCTTGCAACGTATGTAAACATCCTGTTGTATCTTCCTGTGGAAAGGAAATCATACATCTCGTGCTGAGGAAACGTGGCTCTGTTTCACTTACGCGGTCACGTATATATATTTATTTCATTCACTTATTCTCATTTACAAAAGAGACTAACCGGCCGGTCGGCCGCAACGTGGCCAGTGCATGACCGCCGCTTAACTTAGAATTAAATCTCTGTAATATATTAGTACGACACCTTAGAGTCAAATTGGAATGGCGGATACCGTGCGGTATCCCGGGCACCTGGTTCGCAGTTATTGTTCGACGATGGCGTTCGATTCGATACAATTAGCCGTGTGGCACACACCTCGATTCTCCTCGACGTTTGTATCGTATCGGTTCGATAGAGAGAGAGAAAGAAGCGTCGAACGTGGTCGCCGCGATCGTTGATTTTTTCCGCGCTGTCGGGTGAAAATTACAGAGAATACTGGACCTTTTTATGGACGCGTCGTCGTTTAGTTTCTCGAATACAGAGGTGCATGTTCTGTGAAAATAGAATTTTAATCTTGAAATTTTATACGATATCGGACAACGAGTTTTTTTTTTTTTTTTTTTTTTTTTTTTT